TTTTTGGAAACGAAGGTCTATTAATATTATTGCGATAAAATTAATCTAAAGTCATCACCTTAAACGAAATAGGGTGAAGGCATCACATCTAATCTTCGGTGAATAGTTCGATCACAGGAGCATAATATCTTGCAATAATCAGATTTTTCTAATAGATCACATTATTTCTAAAAGGTGGCATGGCCGAAGAAATTGTGAGGGTTCCTTTGATCACAGTTTTTATCCCTCACTTTCTAACTAGCTCCCCTATCTTCTTAGAAAGAAAACATGACGGCTAAATTAGAGCAGAAAAAAGGTATCTGTTTGTCTATCCCTGAAAAATTATTCCTCATTAAAGAGATTTAATTATTAATTAAGCCCAAAGGATAATTATCGTCCAGGAATAAATGTTTCAGCCGTTTCAGCTCTTTAAATGCTTCAAATGCTTATTAGTCTAATACATCTGATAACTGCACAGGTGTAAGCTTAGTTTATTTTTTATGTGGGTGTAGTTATTGAACTTTAGATTTATGACAAGTAGGTTTGGAGGCTATCAGTGGATAGTTATAACGGCTCTATTCACTCCAGGTCGCGTAAGGTGGCCAATAATGTTAATTACTTTGCATTATAAAATGAATAATAAATTTTATCAAATATCAGTTGAGTACATACATGATAAGTTTTCCTCATAAAGATCTAAGTAAAGCTAGAGGACAAGGCTGACTAGGGCAAATATTACAAACTCACCTGCACCTCTTCGGCGGTTTCTGCTACTGTATCAACCAAGCGGCTAAGCAATTCAGTCAAGCACTTGGCCGACATGTGGCCACCCAGCGCTCTTACCACCTGCAGCGACCTACTGGCATAGTGTCGCACAGGGCAAGAAAGGCCCATATTGAAGGCAGCTTCGGCCAGCTTTGATAGACTGACAGAGTTCCGGTTACAGGTGATCCTGCTTAGCCCCAATAAATTCGGAACAGAGTCGGCTTGTAAGCAATGAGACCGAGTGGGACAAAAAGACCGAAGGGGAGCATGCGACAATCTGCTACAGAAATAGGGATTCTTGCAGGCCTTCAAGTCTTTTCCACACTCATCCAACTCATCATGATATTTATTATTGGCAAGTGAACAGTTACTGACTTCTTCTTCTTCCTCTTCATCCTCTTCATATTCGTCCTCCTCCTTCTCACAATCTGCGCACTTTTCTCTATGAGGCCAACAAGTAACGAACTGTCCTTTTCCAGCTGCCCGGAAGCCTCCGGTTTGTTGGCTCAAACT